CTTTCACGGGGTAATTATTTGGGATACTTTATTGTCTGAGTTTACACATCTTGAGCTGTTGAACTGCCCCACATCTCCTTCTCCCAGACAGATGTTCAACACCCTCACCCTACATTTTGATGACCCCATTATTTTAAGTCACCTGGCTTCCTTTACCCATGCCCAAGACAGTCATGGTCAGTGGAGTAAGGCACTCTCACACAGATGGAGTCTCACATGCCTTCCAAACTCAGTTTCCCAGCCAGGCCCTACCAATTGTTGAAATAAATGTATCAGAAAAAAGCTATTGACCACTTCACCCAAGAAAATGCATCCAAAGACACTCTAGAGCAAATTACTGAACCAAGAAAAAACTAGCTCTGTGTGTACGTATGCATGTGTCATTTGGGACCCACGTAGGGAGTTTATAGATACCAGGTATGTTTATAGATACCAGCTTCAAACCAATGCCATACAAATCATTTTCTTTTCAATACTCAAAATTAAGAAAGCCTTCAAACCACTATTCTGATTCTCCTCGTACCTCTGCTGCAGCCTCAGAATTCACCTACTCCCAAGTCACTTGTTAGAGCTGAATATGAAGTATGAAGTATGAATCTGAGTATGAAATAGTTTTGCATGTCAAGCCTGCCTCAGTGTCTACAAGCTGTTTGCTTTAAAACAACTTAATCTTTCCTGGGTTCATCTGCAAAAAAGAATTAATGCCTCTTCGTAAAGTCGTTTTTGCATATGGCACATATTCTACCACCCAGAAGACATTCAACAAATAAATAAGATTGACTGCTCTCCTTGCGTGTATTACTATCAGTATTAGTACCATGTGTATATTGATCTGTCAGTTGTCGGGCTTTTGCACAGAGAAGTAAGATACTGCTCACGCCTTGGAGAGGTGAAAAAAAGGAGCAAAGATACAGGAGCAAACAAGAGGAAGGCCGTGTGACCACAATGGACTCTGAGGCCACTCGGGGCACCACTCAGAGGTTACTTAGCCAACATGTTCTCTCCCTTCTTTGCAGCTGCACAAATCCTGCCCGTCCTCCACCACTCAGCTGGAGTTCACATCCTTACAGGAGCCTCCACCGAGTACTCAAGCCTCTACTCTGTCCTACGGGGCAAACTTAATCTTAGTTAACTCTAGCTGAATTTTATGAATTCAGCATAAACTTTGTCCACTCAGGGTTCTTCCAGCCAATCCTGGGTTCCCCCAGTCCAGAGTTTCACACACCCTACTGCCCATCACTGAGGTATTTGAGTGTGGAGACAATAAGCTTCCACAGCCTCCAGTGAGACATGCCTCTTGAAGGCAGCAATAAGATCAGTCCAAATCCTTCCTCAATGCCTATCCAGGGTTAAGTACACAGCAAGTGCTTCAGAAATGGATGGATGGAGACGAGGAGAATGGGAGGATGGATGGATGGATGGGAGGGTGGATTGGACGATGGGTGGGAGGAATGGGAATAAACAGCCAAACCTCTCTCTCCTCCTGCCCAGGACTCCCACCTACCACCAAATCCAAGAAGTCAACAGCAGGAAAGCCTGGCGGAGCAGGCTGCAGGGGTCAGCCTCTCCTGACACGAAACACAACAGCAAAGAGCAGACATGGATTTGAGCAGGGGGCTGGCAAAGAAGAACAGCCTGCAGAAGAGATGTCACCAACAGTAACAGCCAGCTTTTGCTGAGCACTTACTACGTGCCATGACCACATACACTGTATTTCATTTAATTTTGACTCAACTTCATTGGGAGGTATGTGTGCATAGTTATCCATACATATAGGTATGTTCTGTGTGTAGATATTACATATTAAATTCATATGTAGATCCAAAACAAAAGAATTTTATACCAACATACAACAGATTCTTAGAACTCTTTATCTCTAGGGAGCAGGATTGAGGTGAACAGGGGGGGAGCTGTACTTTTATATTGTAAATATTATATTTTAAATAGAACATATTATTTTTATATCTAAAATCTAAAGAAGCATACAGGATAACTAGAACTTCTTTTTCTAACTCCTACAGATTTTTTTGAACACCTATTATGTTCCGTGTACTTTGTTCTGGAATCAAGCCTAACACAGTTTCAGGGTCAGGATTCAAACCCAAATCTGCCAAAGCCCGTGCCTCATTCCCGTGCTGCCTGCTCCCTTCGCCCTTCCTGCTGAGGCTAACCCCGGGCACTCGGCCGAGGAGAGCGGCAGGAAGCAGTCTGAGACACCACGCCTTGCTGGGCTGGGCAGCCGCGCTGCGTGTCTCTGTTCACCCAGGAGGGCGCCCCCCAACTCTGTTCTTCATGCTGCTGGGAGCCAAGCTGGAGCCTCATGCCTGTGGCCAAGACGCTCTTGACCAGGAAAATGGTACAACCCCAGGGACCCCGTCAGCTTCCCCAACCTCCCTAAACAAGTCCCACTTCGCCTTCAGCCTGTATAGGCAGATGGTGGCCACAAATCCAGACAGCACCTACTGGCCTTCTCCGTCCCCCTCAGCCTCCTGGCTCTCCAGGCCAGGCCAGCAGCACACAACCAGGTCCTGGAGGGGCTGGGATTTCACCCTCCCTGGGTCCCGAATGACAGTGACAGCATCCATACTCACTGCAGTCAGTTCCATTCCCTCCTGCCACCTGCGGGGGAGTGCCAGCTGGACATGGGAGGCATGCTGTTTGTGGACAAGAAGTACCTGGTACAGACATTTGTTGATATTCCCTAGAACCTGTACCACACAGATGCCTTACTCATCCCCTTTGGGAACTACTGTAGAGCCAGGGATCACACGGAGCACATCATTAGGGAGAGAATCCAAGATTAGGAAGCTGGGGTGGAACTTGAGCCCAGACACTGTCTTGATTCTGACAGATTACATTTTCTTCAAAGGTAAGTAATTCTCCAATGATTATTTAAACCCCTTTGCAGCTTATTACAAAAGTAATGCATCTTTGGTCCCAGAGATTATTTCCTTTCCCCTCAGTCCAGACCACATTCCCTTCTGCCTGTCTCAGAATTCACTGTCGATTAAGATCTCCCTCTAGCATCGTCAACCTCTCTTCCAGCACCTGCACCCGAACGTTCAAACTCCAGCTCCGTCTCTCACTATAGCTCCAGCTCTCTCCTTCTCATCACAGCCAAAGCTTTAGGAAAGGGTGTCCCCACCCAGACCAGCTACATAATCTGTGGGTCTCCATGCAAAATTAATAGGTGGTGCCCCTGTTCAAAAATCACATTCCAAGGTGGTGACAGTAGAGCATTCAACTACATTCAGGCCCTGTGATGACAGCCCAGGTCGCACATCCTTGAAGCCAACCCTGCCCACACAAGCTATTCCAACTTGCCTTCCATTCCACCAAGCACAGGTCTTGCTTCTGGGCTCATTACTCATCTCATATGGTTTATCAAACTACCTCCCACCTGCCCTGCAGAAAGAAACTTCATTGAGCCAGGAGGCCTCACCCTTCTGTGTCCACCTGGCTTTGCTACATTTAGCTATGTTTTGTTTATCTCTCCTCCTTAACACGCTCTTTCCTGGGCCCAGCATGGCCTTCCTGATTCTCTTTCTATGTCTACCTTCTCCAAACATCTCCCTCTTGTGCAGAGCCCATTAAATGGTGGCATTCCAAGGAAGGCATTTCATAGAATTTTCTTATTCTACACAATCTCCTTGGGAGAGCTTGGTCCGTCCACTCGCCTCTGACTCTCCTGTATGCTGGACTCCCAGTGTTCTGTGCCCAGCCCACACCTCTCATGAGCTCCAGACCCGCACCCCCACCAGCCATCTGGTCACCTCCATCCAAACGTGCAAGAAGCAGCTCAAGCCTGGCATGTACAACACCAGAAGCATTTCTTCCCACTATGTCCTCCACTCCCTAAGAACCCCCTCTTCCTGTTCCCTCCTCTAAGTCTCAATGAATGGCCTCTGCTCCATGTACCTGCCCAAACCAGAAAACTTGTACGTAGTAGCTTACTACTAGCTGGGCGGATTCGCAGGGTCTCTTTCCTCTCTCACACGACGCTCCTAAACAGGAGCCCCATCCCGTGGACCTTTCCTCCCTAAGCTCTCTTCTGTGGGTCCACCATTGCCGCTCTCCACCGGCACTACCTTCGTTCAAGCTTCACTATCTCTTACCAAAGTATTGCACCTGCTCCTCAACTGGTTTTCCAGTCTGCAGCTTGCCTGCCCCTAATCCACTGTGCACACTGAAGGCCGTGTGTCCATTCTATCAGTCAAACTTCACCTTGTAACTCCACTGCTTGAAACCTTTGAGTAGCCCAAACCAATCATAGCACTTAGGATAGAGCCCCGTATCTTCAGGATGGGCCACAGTGCCCTTAAATGACCTGCATCTCTTGTCGCCCTCCCTACTTTCCCTCTACCCACAAGTGCCACCGACCAGCCACATGAAACGACACCCTTTCCATGAACTACACAACCCCTGTTGCCTATGGGTCCCAAAGGTCCTCCCCTTGCTCCCCACTTCCCCTCCGTTTTCCCAGCCATCAGGTGCCCTCGGTTCAGAGGTCACTGTCCCCAGGAAGACTTCCAGAACAATCTCCACCACAGAGGTTGCCAGACTGAGGAACAAAACAAAACATGGGTATATTTATATTTAAAAATTATTTGTTGTTTCTCTGAAATTCAAATTTAACTGGGCTTCCTGGGTTTTATCTGGCAACCCTACCCCCCACCATCCTCAAAGTAGGTGGTGGTGGAAAGAAATGATTTTGTTTTGAATATGCTGAGTTCGAGATGTTTCTGGGACTTTTCGATAGAGGTGACCTGATGGCCCTTGGGGATGTGGCCCGGGCATAGAGAGCTGGGAGCTCAGCACACAGGAGGGCTCGAGGCCACTGGAGGGAATGAGCTCGCCTCACCTAGGTGTCCTGGTAGTGTCACTTCCTTTCTCTAATCTGAAGACTTCGCAAACAGTATTGTAGCTTTCTGATTACTTGTATGTATCCTCACAAGACTGTGGCCTCATGCATATGGAATGGTTTATGTTTTCATACATACCTGCCTTCACTGGAATCCGGGCACTGTCAAGATCAAAGGACTCGAAAATTCAGCTTTCTAGTTCTCATTGCCTCCTGTATTGCAAGGTTTATCAACTGGCCCCTCAGAACTGGACCCCTCAACTTCTGGACAGCAGCCTCAGCTTCTAGAAGAGAAGGCAGGAAGCCAGCCCCAAAGGAGGAGGGCCGGCTCACCCCAGCCCTGACAAAGCATCTCTTGGAGCCCACAGCTTTCTTGTGGACTGTGTTCAAACTTCTTCAGCAGATGCCAGGGAAGAGTATGGTGTCATATTTTGTAGAGCTGTAGGGAACACTGTAATAATAAAATTAATAGCCAACAACATGTGAGCGACTAGTTGTGTGCCAGGCACTGTGCTCAGGCTTCACATAGTCTCACTGAATGCTAACAGATACCAAATTAGGTAGGTGGTGTTGCCCCTAATGTACATATAGGAAATGGATGATCCCCACTCTCTCTCTGGGCTAACCTCCTACTGCTCTAGCTACACAGGCTTCTCGATGCCCCTTGAACATTCCAGACCCATTCCTGCCACTGGGCCTTTGCACATACTGTTTATTCTCCCTGGGATATTCTCCCTGATGTGCCCTGAAGACCCATTAGGTCTTTACTCTGTGTCACCTTCTCAGGGAGGCTTTGTACGAAACTATAACTCTCCTTCCCTGTCATTTCCTATCTCCTCTTGCTTCATTTCTCTCCTTAGCCATTATTACCATCTAATATATTTTTCCTTATTGATCTGGCCCCTTGTTTCCACCTGGTATGTAATTTCCCCGCAAACAGGGGTCTCATGCATGACCGTTACACGTAGTAGCCACTCCCTAAATATCTCCCACATGAGTGAAGTATCTGACATTCAGGGCTCTCTGCCACGAATGCTGGCAGGCTGCTCTAATTCTTGCCCTCTCTCGTACCAGAGAAATGGAAAGTTTCTTTTGACCCAAAGCTCACTGAGGTCAGACCCTTCTAACTGAGCCTGGGGGTCACGGTCCTGGTGTGCACAGCACAGAGGCTGGGCTCGTTCCAGCTTCAGCGTTTCCACCATCTGCCCAGTGACGTCCTCCAGTTGCCCAGCACGCACAGCACCCCCACGGTCTTCATTCTTCCTGCCCTGTGAGCAGACGGAGGAGGCCCTGATGAGAGAGAGCTGGGGCACAGGGCCTCAGCCCCTCCCAGTCAGGTACAACCGCGGCCTCTCCTCTCCCGCGCTCATGGGGCCGGCTCAGCAGCCCCCCTCCAGGCCTCTGCGGCTGAGCGGCGGGGACCCTTCCGGCCTTTGGGCCCATGGCATGAGGTGCTGAGCCTCATTCACAGGATTCAGTCAAGCAGTCCTGCAAGAGCTGGAAACCAACAGGTCATCACAACAAAACCTCCGTTGTCATCATCATCGTCATCGCTGCCACGTTATCACATCACATCTTCCTTGGAGGGACTTAAAATGCATCTTAGCATTTCAAAAGCACTGAGAAGCTGTAAAGGACTTGGCAATATTTAACTAAGCTTTACCCTGCATTCCCCAAACAGGATTCGAACATGGCACCCATTTTAACAAAAGACCTGGAAACAAAGTCCGGTTCCATGGAAGCTGCGGTTGAAGAGTTACCAAGGATCTGGCCTCCCAGCTCATGAACTGATGCAGCTATTGTGCAGCAAGCAACCCAGAGGGAGCCAAGCCCAGGCTCCTTTACCCCTGGGTTCAGCTTTCCAGCCTCCTGCACTCCCCTCCTCCTCCTCACCGTGCCCTCGATGAGCTTGCCGGCTTTCCTCAGCCTCCAATAGGGTTCTGCTACTCAAAGTGTGGTCTATGGACCAGCATCCTTGGCTTCATCTGGGAGTGTGCCCAGGCCATAGGCTCAAGCCCCACCATGCACCTACCCACTCAGAATCTTTAACCTGGGCCCAGCATGGCCTTCCTGATTCTCTTTCTATGTCTACCTTCTCCAAACATCTCCCTCTTGTGCAGAGCCCATTAAATGGTGGCATTCCAAGGAAGGCATTTCATAGAATTTTCTTATTCTACACAATCTCCTTGGGAGAGCTTGGTCCGTCCACTCGCCTCTGACTCTCCTGTATGCTGGACTCCCAGTGTTCTGTGCCCAGCCCACACCTCTCATGAGCTCCAGACCCGCACCCCCACCAGCCATCTGGTCACCTCCATCCAAACGTGCAAGAAGCAGCTCAAGCCTGGCATGTACAACACCAGAAGCATTTCTTCCCACTATGTCCTCCACTCCCTAAGAACCCCCTCTTCCTGTTCCCTCCTCAAAGTCTCAATGAATGGCCTCTGCTCCATGTACCTGCCCAAACCAGAAAACTTGTACGTAGTAGCTTACTACTAGCTGGGCGGATTCGCAGGGTCTCTTTCCTCTCTCACACGACGCGCCTAAACAGGAGCCCCATCCCGTGGACCTTTCCTCCCTAAGCTCTCTTCTGTGGGTCCACCATTGCTGCTCTCCACCGGCACTACCTTCGTTCAAGCTTCACTATCTCTTACCAAAGTATTGTACCTGCTCCTCAACTGGTTTTCCAGTCTGCAGCTTGCCCACCCCTAATCCACTGTGCACACTGCAGGCCGTGTGGCCATTCTATCAGTCAAACTTCACCTTGTAACTCCACTGCTTGAAACCTTTGAGTAGCCCAAACCAATCATAGCACTTAGGATAGAGCCCCGTATCTTCAGGATGGGCCACAGTGCCCTTAAATGACCTGCATCTCTTGTCGCCCTCCCTACTTTCCCTCTACCCACAAGTGCCACCGACCAGCCACATGAAACGACACCCTTTCCATGAACTACACAACCCCTGTTGCCTATGGGTCCCAAAGGTCCTCCCCTTGCTCCCCACTTCCCCTCCGTTTTCCCAGCCATCAGGTGCCCTCGGTTCAGAGGTCACTGTCCCCAGGAAGACTTCCAGAACAATCTCCACCACAGAGGTTGCCAGACTGAGGAACAAAACAAAACATGGGTATATTTATATTTAAAAATTATTTGTTGTTTCTCTGAAATTCAAATTTAACTGGGCTTCCTGGGTTTTATCTGGCAACCCTACCCCCCACCATCCTCAAAGTAGGTGGTGGTGGAAAGAAATGATTTTGTTTTGAATATGCTGAGTTCGAGATGTTTCTGGGACTTTTCGATAGAGGTGACCTGATGGTCCTTGGGGATGTGGCCCGGGCATAGACAGCTGGGAGCTCAGCACACAGGAGGGCTCAAGGCCACTGGAGGGAATGAGCTCGCCTCACCTAGGTGTCCTGGTAGTGTCACTTCCTTTCTCTAATCTGAAGACTTCGCAAACAGTATTGTAGCTTTCTGATTACTTGTATGTATCCTCACAAGACTGTGGCCTCATGCATATGGAATGGTTTATGTTTTCATACATACCTGCCTTCACTGGAATCCGGGCACTGTCAAGATCAAAGGACTCGAAAATTCAGCTTTCTAGTTCTCATTGCCTCCTGTATTGCAAGGTTTATCAACTGGCCCCTCAGAACTGGACCCCTCAACTTCTGGACAGCAGCCTCAGCTTCTAGAAGAGAAGGCAGGAAGCCAGCCCCAAAGGAGGAGGGCCGGCTCACCCCAGCCCTGACAAAGCATCTCTTGGAGCCCACAGCTTTCTTGTGGACTGTGTTCAAACTTCTTCAGCAGATGCCAGGGAAGAGTATGGTGTCATATTTTGTAGAGCTGTAGGGAACACTGTAATAATAAAATTAATAGCCAACAACATGTGAGCAACTACTTGTGTGCCAGGCACTGTGCTCAGGCTTCACATAGTCTCACTGAATGCTAACAGATACCAAATTAGGTAGGTGGTGTTGCCCCTAATGTACATATAGGAAATGGATGATCCCCACTCTCTCTCTGGGCTCACCTCCTACTGCTCTAGCTACACAGGCTTCTCGATGCCCCTTGAACATTCCAGACCCATTCCTGCCACTGGGCCTTTGCACATACTGTTTATTCTCCCTGGGATATTCTCCCTGATGTGCCCTGAAGACCCATTAGGTCTTTACTCTGTGTCACCTTCTCAGGGAGGCTTTGTATGAAACTATAACTCTCCTTCCCTGTCATTTCCTATCTCCTCTTGCTTCATTTCTCTCCTTAGCCATTATTACCATCTAATATATTTTTCCTTATTGATCTGGCCCCTTGTTTCCACCTGGTATGTAATTTCCCCGCAAACAGGGGTCTCATGCATGTCCGTTACACGTAGTAGCCACTCCCTAAATATCTCCCACATGAGTGAAGTATCTGACATTCAGGGCTCTCTGCCACGAATGCTGGCAGGCTGCTCTAATTCTTGCCCTCTCTCGTACCAGAGAAATGGAAAGTTTCTTTTGACCCAAAGCTCACTGAGGTCAGACCCTTCTAACTGAGCCTGGGGGTCACGGTCCTGGTGTGCACAGCACAGAGGCTGGGCTCGTTCCAGCTTCAGCGTTTCCACCATCTGCCCAGTGACGTCCTCCAGTTGCCCAGCACGCACAGCACCCCCACGGTCTTCATTCTTCCTGCCCTGTGAGCAGACGGAGGAGGCCCTGATGAGAGAGAGCTGGGGCACAGGGCCTCAGCCCCTCCCAGTCAGGTACAACCGCGGCCTCTCCTCTCCCGCGCTCATGGGGCCGGCTCAGCAGCCCCCCTCCAGGCCTCTGCGGCTGAGCGGCGGGGACCCTTCCGGCCTTTGGGCCCATGGCATGAGGTGCTGAGCCTCATTCACAGGATTCAGTCAAGCAGTCCTGCAAGAGCTGGAAACCAACAGGTCATCACAACAAAACCTCCGTTGTCATCATCATCGTCATCGCTGCCACGTTATCACATCACATCTTCCTTGGAGGGACTTAAAATGCATCTTAGCATTTCAAAAGCACTGAGAAGCTGTAAAGGACTTGGCAATATTTAACTAAGCTTTACCCTGCATTCCCCAAACAGGATTCGAACATGGCACCCATTTTAACAAAAGACCTGGAAACAAAGTCCGGTTCCATGGAAGCTGCGGTTGAAGAGTTACCAAGGATCTGGCCTCCCAGCTCATGAACTGATGCAGCTATTGTGCAGCAAGCAACCCAGAGGGAGCCAAGCTCAGGCTCCTTTACCCCTGGGTTCAGCTTTCCAGCCTCCTGCACTCCCCTCCTCCTCCTCACCGTGCCCTCGATGAGCTTGCCGGCTTTCCTCAGCCTCCAATAGGGTTCTGCTACTCAAAGTGTGGTCTATGGACCAGCATCCTTGGCTTCATCTGGGAGTGTGCCCAGGCCATAGGCTCAAGCCCCACCATGCACCTACCCACTCAGAATCTTTAGTCTAACAAGATCCCAGGTGATTCACATACATGTTAAGGATTGGGGAGCCCTGACCTAGATTCTGGGGAAGTCCCACCTCTTCCAGGCAAACCTCCAAGATCCCCAGTCACTACAGGTCCCCAAGTGGTGTCTCCCAGGCACCTTCTCCACACCCATCATCTGTCCAGCCACAGAACAAGTTAGTGACAAAGCAAGAGGCAGGACTGGGGCTCTGCCCCGGACCCTGCAAGGGAGGTGGCACCTGCAGAGCTTGCCTGCCCTGTGCCATGTTCCTGGGACCTTCTCAGGCTTTGGCACCACCAGAGGATATTCACATCATGGCTCCACACCCTGACTTAACACCCCCAACAACCTCCTAGGCCCCAAAATCTGCCTGGGGAGCATCCATAACCTCTGCTCTGATGTGGGACAAGGCAGGAAAGGAATGAATGGAGGTGGAGGCAGTTGAATTGTCGTGAGGGCTGCAAGTGAGGTACCTGCGTTCCAGTTCTGATCCCTCTGAGTAGCGTGACTTGGGGTAAGTCTCACCTCTCTTTGCCAGTTTCCCAATCTGCCAAATGGGACTAGCAATAATCATTAGTGCTCATATAGCACTTAGAGTATCTCAGGCATTGTTCTGTGCTCCTTTCACATATGACTTCCTGCAATCTTCACAACAACCTAAAGAGCTTCTAGATACTAGGACCTCCATTTCCCAGCTGAAGCCAGCAGAGCCTACACAGCAAGCCCCACATCACACAGCGAGGATCTGGATTCTCCCCAGACTCCATGCTCTCCCCTGCTACACTATCCTAGATAGTGATAGTACCTGCCCCCTGGGTTCTTCTACTCATCCAGTAGGTCCATGCATGCAAAGCACTAGAGCTGGCACCCAGTGAGGGCTCAATTAATGTTCTGCTGTCCCCAGGAGGTGCCAGACTCTGTTCTCAGTGCTTGGCATATGGTTGTGAAACCTGAGCAGGGCAGGAATTAGGGTGGATAAAGAGAAGGGAGATAAGGGGGTGAGCAAGACAATGCAGAACCTTGTCAGCAAATCAATGACCACTCTGGGCTGTTTTCCTGCCTGTGGGGTGGGAGTGGGGACCCACAGGGAGTCAGAGTCCTTCAAGGTCCAGAAAATGCCCTGAAGCTAAGCCTGCAGGTAGGACAGGTGGCCCCAGCAGTGCAGGCCAGCAGGGCTCCAGCAGACAGAGTCAGGCAGTCACCCTGACCAAAAGCCACCAGGCAGGCCATAGGACCAGCCAGTGCCAGCTCAGGGCTAGCCTCCAAAGCCCAAGATTCAGCCCCACCTACCCATGCCACCCCTGTGCTGGTTGGCATTCTTCTTTGCCAACAGAGCTCATGATTCCTTTAGTAAATAGCCAGCCAGGGCTTGGCAAAGTCCAGCCAACACTCCTCCCTAGAGATTCTGGTAACTTCAGGTCTCTGGCTTGATGGAACCTGCCCCACACCAGGAAGACCCCAGCCCTATTTTCCTGGAGATGAACTCCAGACAACACTGCCTTACCCACACAGCTGAAGAAGTTAGGAGGCCCTAAACAACCCTGCTGGTCCCAGCTTCTGTGGCTGGCAGAGTTGGGAAAGGGGAATCCAGA